AAGCGAGGCGGAGGCCGCGGCAGGGCTATTAAAAGCCGCTTTCTCTACCACCCCGGAGCGGCACAAAGCACACCAGCTAAATTTAGCTGCTCACAATGGAGAAAAGTCAATTAACAGCTACATTTAAAAAAGCACTACGCTGATTTTCAAGGTCTAAGGAGAGACCCCAAGAACTGTAAGACAAATAGTCGGCTGTAGATGCGACCTTGCCATTCCTGCGTACTGGGAAACAGCACGGATCTCTTCAGCAGCAAAGGAAACTGGTGCTGCTGGACCAAAACCTCCTACGCCATCTCCCCCGGCTCAGGCGTCGCTTGCACAAAACCCCCACTCTTCTTCACAGGAAAGTTTCTCAGGTTTTGTTTCATTTTTTAATTTAACAAGAATAGCTGAGACATGCTCCTCACTGCGCAAACCTGCGCATTAGCTCTCCCCGTCACAGAGTCCAATTAACGGGGAGAGAGAGACAGTTTAATAGCCGGAGTGGGAGAGCAGCAGCCAGGATTCATAAATCATATTTACAGCCGTACCGCGAGCGCTCGCTCAGGCCTGATGCAAGCGGCGATTCCGCGGCTCTGCGCCACCTTCTCCCCCGCTTGCAGAACTCCAAAGACCCGGCAGCCCCTCACCTCGGGGGATGCTTAAAAGGCCAAAAGAAACCTCGGAATGAAGCACATCCAGGTGCTGCTACGTCCTTTACCCTGCACCTCTGGCAGAGAGACCGGCCCCTGGCCCCATCGCGGCTGCGCTGGGTGAGGAGCGGGACGAGGCACGTGTGCTTTCCATCGGCTTCGGAGGAATCGCACCCTGCTTGCACTTGCACCCTGCGCTTGCGCTGGGGGCTCTGGGGATGGTCCCCCCTCCATCAGAGCCCTCCTTCCCTCCCTGTGCCCCACCACGCACTGGAGGATCTCCTTGTGCTTGCATTAATTACCCCGTTATGCCCATTTTTTTTTACAAGGAAGGTGAAAACCAGAGAGATTATGTATGCTTCCCAAACCAGAGGGCTGCAGTGTAGCAGCACACAAAGATCCACCCCCAGGTCTCTGCCCTGGCCACCAGCCTGGGGTAGTCCCATGCACAAAGCTGCATCTGGGCTCCCACAAGGAACCCGGAGAATACGAAGCCGCCGTGATGGTCAAAATGTCATCGGCACGAAGTCTTACACAAGGACTGGCTAAAACTGCTGCCAGCTGCATCACTAAACATTTCTGCTAATTACAGAGAAGAATAAAATGACGACGAGGTGCTGAGGGCTTTGACTTCAGTGTTAGTCCTCACAGTTTACCCAGGTTAGTGTCCGGGTGTGTAATTCCCTGCATAAGCTCATCTCCTCTTTGTCATCAAGGCTGGCTGCATTAACATTTCACCTGGTCAATCCTTCGTCTGGAGGGAACATCATCAAGACAGTAAATCGATCTCTTAATTTTGTAGCGCTTCAGAACAACGGCCTTTTCCAGAGAGCTATAAAAAATTTAAGCTTTGGAAAAGAAAATGGATGGACGTCTGCAATTGTCAGATGTAATATTTCAGTATTACTTTTGGCTAACTTTTAGTTTTTAAATCAGAAATATGGCGCTAAATGGCAATCACTTGAGTAACCAGGCAGACAACACAGCGTCCTTGCTCTTCTTTTGCATAGGATGCGCTCTTGGTTTGCCTGTCATGGCAACATCCAGACCCAAAGGAGAAAAATCACTTTATCCATTTAATTATATATAATCAGGATATATTTTATAACACATTACCTTAATGTATTGTATGCACAAGCATACACAGAAAAGGCTGAGAACGACTAATGGATAAATCTTATTAAGTAGCAATTTGACATTTTGCTGGTTCATTGGGTAGCGTTGGGCAGCCGAGAGCTGGGCACGTTGCCCCTGCTCACCTTTTTCATGGGCTCCTGTTTGCTGCATTGAACATCTGGCAGGCAAATGGAGCCGTCATCCCCTCCTCTCCAAGCACTGATCCTACTCTCATCCCAACGCTATTCCACGTTTCCAGAAGATCTGGTGTCAATAAAACCTATGGGAGATCTCCCAAAGGGCAGCAGTTCCCCGTGGCAGCTGCAGTCATAAAGACAAAGGCAAGGGCTGCGATACCTTGGTGCACAGAGGCCTTCTCGAGGACAACATGTCTGAGAAGCTTTACAAACTGCCTGAGTTTATTGCTCTTATTGCGAGGATAACAAACAATTCGGATCCGAGACCTGGAAACCTGTTAATCTCCAGAAACGATTTAACTTTTTGGATTACGCACAGGGTTTAATGCTCTGTGTCAGATGCTCTGGCAACATAGAGCAAACCATAATTTAGCAGTCATTCCGGGAACCTTCAGAAAGTCCCTCTTTTGCTGACTACAATTCCAAACTGCACGCCTAAGGGGTAGCTACAAGGGAGATGAAGACTGCCTTTTTACCAGGAGTCCCATGGAGAGGACAAGGGGGAATGGACACCAGTTGCTCTTGGGGAGATTCCGATTGGACATGAGCGGGAAATTTCTCACCATGAGAACAGCCAACCCTTGGAATAATCTCCCCAGGGGAGGGGTTGACTGCACCACACTGGACACTTTCAAGACTCAGCTGGACTGGGTGCTGGGCCATCTTGTCTAGATTGTGCTCTTGCCTGGAAAGGTTGGACCAGATGGTCCTTGAGGTCCCTTCCAACCTGGGATTCTATGATTCTGTGATCGCTCCCAAGGCGCGTGTTAGCCCGGGGGCACCGCCGAAGGGAGCGCAAGTTTGTGTCAATCAGTGAGGACACTGGATGATTGGCGCCGCATCCTTGCAGCATCCTTCTCTGATACTTTCACAGCCTTGGGATGAATGTTTTTCCCCAGGGATAATCTCAGGTGGAAGATGAGCCAAATCTCAGGTGGGGTGACCGTAAACGCAGGCAGGAGAGCAGGGAACGCTGACTAATCCCCCCAAAACCCTCTCCACTGCCCTGGCAATCAGATAAGCCTACTGAAGCAACCGTGTAAACAAGCTGCCAGCAGTTATTCAGACCAAGAGATGTCATCATCAAGCTTGCTATTTTTTCTTTTTTTTTTTTTTTTTTGGTTACACAGTGACAACAGTAATTTTGACAGGAGAGGCATTCCATTTACCTGGGGGAAATATAATGTAATACCAGACAGTTGCTGATTGCCAGGAACCATTCAAATCAATTACATTTTCCCTGCCGAATGTACTTAATCATAAACAGTGGCTGTGAGTCACCGGTGTAAAACAATACAAAGCCCCAGCAGCACAAGCGCGGGCAGCGCGCGTATCGCTAATCACCTGCGGCAGCTCCTGGGGGGAACCTTCAATGAGCTCAAATCGGTTCAAATTAAGAACTACACTGAAACGAAACAGTCCTAAAGCGGGAGCTGAACCGGCACTAACGCTGCATTTAAGAGATCTTCCTCTCCCAGAGTTACCTCTTCCTATCTTCCTCCTTCCCAGGATCTTTTCTCGGGAGCCCTGGAGAAACAGGGGTTCCCAGGTATTTTGCTTGCAGCATCCTTGTGTGAAGCAGCAGCCGCAGGGGGCCCCGGCCCTGCGAGGGCAGCTCGGCACCCGGCATTCAGCCCTCGCCGCGCCCGAGCCCCCCAGGCAGCAGGTACACCCACCCAAGGAATTAATTGCCAACAAATGTATGCAACCAGCTTGCAGATTCACCCTTCTGCTGGCACCATAAATTACTTCTAAGGAGGGGGAACCATGGCAGAGCTGGGGCACCCTGGGGTAGGAGCTGTAATCTGGCTGGTGAGCAGAGACGAGCCCTGCAGCCCACCCGGACGCAATCAGTGCAAAAATCGGTCATCGATTCCTCCACAGATGCCTGCTGATGGAGGGCTCGGCTGGCACAGCAAGAGACTCGGCTCAGGCGGAAAAAAATTCAATGTCTAAAGACGTGTTTCTGTAAGGGCCCGCGAGGGAAGGGCTCCATAAAGAGCAGAGCAGGGAGGGGAGATAAAACACGCTCGGAGCGACACCGTGCTGCTCGTGACGCCAGCGGCACAGCCAAAGAGCCCATCACCACCAGGGAGAGGCGTTGGATGAAGACTGTACCAACACAGGGATGACAGAGAGCCGGAGGTGACCATCAAAGGCCAATGCAAGGTTTCATGCCGGTTCCTCCACGCAGGACCCGGGGAGCTAGGGGAGCTGGGCTTTGCTCACAGTCGCAGGTTCATCACTGCTGCTCGCACGCCCCTCTGCACAGCAGCTAATAATTAAGCCATCATTGCCATTACATCCCATGCACAGAAGAAGAAAATAGCTCCTCCATCCGAAATAAATACCATGGCCTCTATGTGCCCATGGAAGCAATTTCTCCAGGAGCGTACAATGGATGCTGTCTCCCCATCCCTGCTGGCTGTGCATTTGAAGGCCCTTTGCAGCCCCAGGCAGACAGGCCCTGGGCTTGCTGCCCGCACTGCACATGCCAGAGGCTCAGCCTTGCTCCTTATCCTGCAAGAAACCCATCCCAGATGTCTACAAGCAAAGCCCCACAGCAGAGCAGCGATGCCACCCTGCCACGGCAGCCCCGGCCGGGGGCAAGCCTGCCTCTCTGTCTTTCTTCACCATCTGAATGCACAAATTAATTATTTCTTTCCAAACAAAACCAGACGAACAAAAGATTGTAAACAAGGAGCTGTTTGAATTTAGAAGAAAATGGCATTTTTTTAGCGCTGCTGTTTGCATGCAGCCACCCCACGCAGCCGGCCGGGAGGGACAGCCAGCGCCATGGCCCCGCCGAGCCGCCTCTGCGCCGCTGACAGCCGAGAACACCCTGACAGACGACCAACACAAATACATCATCATTTACAAGATCAGAGTTGTGGATAAAGCCGGTACTTGAATAAGCACGGCTTTAGTCAGAAAAGCAAGAAGCCAGCCTAGGCCTTCATCTTGCACTGGTTACTCTTAGCGCTCATCTCTCTTGAAACCAAGGACAAATTCCGATTAACCAACGGAAAGGGGGGCACGGACATGCCGACTCACGCCGAGATGACCGTAAAAAAAGGCTGGTTACCAGCAGCGCTGGTTACACCACCACAGCCCAAGAACCACCAGTTTGGGAGCCTCTGCGCCACATCCCGGGTCGCACCCATCGCGGGTAGGAATGCCTGGGAGGTACCGGCTGCTCCCCCCCTCCCCAGCACAACCCCACCGCCCACAGCGAAGCCGCCGCCGGTGCTGCTGGCCATGAGGAGCAAGGGGGGGCTCTGGGAGAGGGGGCTGCAGTTTGCAGAGAGAGACAAATTCGTTTTCAGAAATTAATTGCCCTGGAAGAAGCAAGCGAAACCATTACCTTCTCATGGTTTTCTATTAAAATTTCGATCACGATGTTCTGAAATTTGATGTCCATAATGGCAGCGACTGTTTCCTCTTGAGGTCGAAGCAGTGTTGGCCCGAACACCACACCCAGATTAGCAACAGTCATCAGGTTCTGCTTGTGATTATTTGCAACTCTGGAAAAAAAAAAAAAAAAAAAAAAAAAAAAAAAAAGAAAAAAAAAAAGAGAAGAAAAAAAAGTAGGCGATAGAACTAATCCAGCACGGAAACCCCCTCCCTGCCTCAAGGCTGGCACAGAGCTTACAACGCTGTTTACATTTTTTACACTCCTGGTGAGCTCCTTGAAGGCTCAGCCATGTGGAAAAGTACAAATTTAACTATTGTGTTACGAGGGACCTTTCAGCCGCCGTGAATTGACTAATCCCATAAAACCCCGACGCTACGCTGGCCACTGAGTCTCATGTTGCAAACCACTCCCAGGAAAACATCTTGAATCATTAATACTTAAAACCCTTCTAAAAACAAATTGTTGGACCTCTGACACACGCTGCTCTCCAACTGAATGAGTGACCTAATATGTTCCAAAATCCCAATTCCTTCTCACCCATTTAAGCTTTTGCCTGCACCAGAGGTCAGCCCCGTCCAGCCCAACCAAAACAGGCTGGAAGGGGAAGATTTACTCCCGGACCCACGTGCACGCACACGCGCCCTTCTCTGCCCCGCTGAGGCATCCGCCTGACACGGACACCCGCTCTCCCAGGGACCCACTGACACTCGAGCCTTCCCCCCCGTCATCTCCATCTATTTTTATGCTCGCAAGCATTGCAGCCCAGTGGGAGCAGATCAGTTCAGCAAAGTTAAACGGCTCGCGCTGAGGACCTGGCCCTCACGTGTGTTTGTGGGGGTTGCTTTGGAGTAGCTCCAGTCTGGCCCCTGGTCTTGGTGGTGCAAAGCATCAGCAGCCCCCCTGGGTCACGTCCTCTGTCCTGGCTCAGCCCCAGAGAGCCCCGCTGCCACGCACCGAGAGCGCGCTGCACCGTGGGACACAGCCTGGGGGTCCCCGGGCCGTGGCCGATTGCCAGCGCCAGGGGACCTGGGTGCTCGGCGGCTCCGTGGCAAACACCTGGTTAAGGCACGGACCAACCTTACCGGGCACCGCGGACTCCGGCTGAGCCACGTGCCGGAGTCACACAATGACACGTATTGCCACGGCACGTGCCGGGGTGACGCAATGAGGACCTGCGGTGGAAGCCCTACAGCCCCGACTCCGCGACTCTTTCTTGTGGTTTTCTCCTGACTTCCTCAACCAGGAAACTCGATGACTTCAGGCAAAGCAATCACACAATTTTGGCCTAAGGGGGTTTTTAAGTGACTTTTCTCTTTACTCTTTCTCTCTGTGTTTTCCCTGGACAAATACACTAGGCTAGCACAAAGTTAGGCTGAGACTCAAATCTTGCTGGATTGTCCCAAAAAGTTAATGCTTTTACTACTGTCCCAAGGCCAAGACACCGCAGTGCTCATTTGTGTGCGTGCTTAGCTTATTTCAGCACAGTGTAAGCTAGGGCTGGCTTAAAAGAAAAGATGCTTTCCATCCTTCTTCATCCAAATCTCACTTGATCCAGCAAAGGCCTCTTCGTTCCTCATCCCTATATACAGCTCCTTAGGGCAGCAGAAAAGGACCTCATCGCTGAGGGGTGCTCGGGGCTGCTGGCTTAGCTTCCCAACAACAGCAACTTCAGCTCTATTTTCCATCCAGGCAGTGAGTCTCACACCTCTGGTGTGTGCTATGTCCCTGGAGAATACGCAGAGCTGTCACCTCCGCCAAGTCCGAGCTTGGGTTACAACTTCAAAGGTGTGGAGGTCCTGGTGCAAGTCCCTTGGGAGCTTTGTGGGACCTCCCCCTTACCCATAACTTCCCCCACTGTTCACAGGAAGCTGAGTATTTCATCACGAGTGTCCGAGAAATATCCCGTGTCAGTAAACTGCAGTGCTGCAGGAGACGGGCTGCAGTTCCAGAGACGATAACCTGAGGAGGAAGCTGCCCCCATCACCTCCACCCAGCCCGGATGAGCCTCCCCGTCCCCGGGTGGGTGCAGAGCCTCGCCCCATCCTCACCCAAGGCAAGAGCTGGCCAAGCTGCGCACCCAGCGACGCCAGCACCAGCCTGCCCCGACCGGCAGAGCCTGTGGGGTAGCAGCAGACTTTCCTTAGGGGATCACCACCTCACGGAGTGGAGAGAAAGGCAGAAGTCATCCAACAGGAAACAAATCCTTACTTAGGAAAAAACTCACTTGCTTACAAGAAAAAAACCTCCTACTTACATATAGGGACTCAAACCTTTTCCTCCACTCCAACCTACCTCCATATCAAGACATTTACAAATGCCAACGATGTTTTACATTGCAAAACCATCTATATTTCGGACACGCGCTTGCATGGCTCCTATTTGGATTCCAAAAATAATAATTCAAATAGTTTTGAAAAGTACTAATAAAATCATAATTTTAATGACCTTCTGCGGTTAGTAAAACAATGTTCATTTATAAAAAAAAAATAACCCAAATTGATCTAAGTCTTAGAAAATGAGGTCCCTCCATTTCTCATTACCATTACCATGTAATACATCGCAGTAATAAACTGCATTGTCATTGACTCATTACGGCTAGGCAGCTGCGCACGGTCCTGTTAATTATTTCAGACTAAACTATTAATGGTTTCCCAACCAGAACGTGGTCTGGCAGCACCAGCCGCAGAGCGGGCTCTGCCCACTGCCCAAGGAATGCCCACGCACCCCGGCACAAGCGCTGGCCCCCACCGCCAGCACCAAACTTCTCTTTCTTGTGTTTGCTTTGAGTTTGCAAGGCGTGGAAGCCATTCGGCGACCGTGCAGGTCTGGTGGTGGAGGAACTCCTGATCTGTGCCACGGGTACTTTTCCAGCAGTAGACTCCCCAGCGTGCGGTTACCAAAGCTATGCTACAAAACATGATTCACCTTTCACAGCCTTCAAATTCCACATCCATTACCCACATGATAATTTACTATAAATTATACCTCTTCATCATCCTTTGTACTAGAAAATAATGCTGCAGTTTCTAAAGATGGGGTGTTCATCCCAAAGTGTGCTTAATGTCAGTGCTTTTTGGCAGGCATTGTCAGTGCCTTTCCTGAGCTGCCCTTTAGGTTTCCAAGTATTTGCTGTATTTTCCTCTTAACCTACTGTTTCTTTCTGGCCCCCGGTGCACTCTGAAAGCAATTGCACTAATATTGATTTAGATGGGTCCTTTTTCAGTTCTCTCTCCATCCACACTTTGCAGAAGTCACCTCCAGCACAAGCAGGAGGCAGGAAGCAACGATGAATGGAGAAACGTGCAGAGCAACCTCTGAACTCCTGCTTGGAGCTTGAACATCTCGAGCTATCACTGACTTTTGGACTCCGGGCTGTCCCTCCTCCTCCTCCTCGCAGCACACGATGGTTCCCCACGTGTCTCCGGGATCAGTGGGAGATCGGCCTGGCGGCGTGGGACAGACCGCAGAGCCCCTCAACGGGGGGAAGATCTGCAAGTCTGCAATGCATCACCGACGAGCGGCCCTGCAAAAGGACTTTGCTCCGTGAAGACCTGACCCACTTGGTGCAATCCCAAGCAGCGTGCTGGCTACTGCAAGCACGCGGCCAAAGGAGCTCTGCCACCTGAGGGGACATCCCGGGCCAGCAGCCGAGGGTCCCCGCAGCGGAACAGGCAAGGTCGTGTTTTCTGGGGGTGTCCGTGGACACCCGCTTGCTTTACATTCACTTTCAGAAAAACAAAGGAGAACGGGAATGGAGTAAATCCATGTTGTGTGTTAAATTAGATTACGCCTGGGTTGCTTGGATACTGTGTAATCACCGGCATGACCAAAAATAATTTAATACAGAGTAATTGGTAGTCAAGCTTCAGTGCAGAGAAAGCATACAGGAACAGTAAATACTTCTTTGTTGCACTGGCTTGCCATCGGCATCCTGTAAGAGAGGAGAAACCCAGCAGAGCCCGGAGT